GGGCGGGATCCGGACAGAGCAGTGGATGGGCGGGGTCTGAGGAGGCTGCTGGTGGGCGGGGCATGGGCGGGGCAGCCGGTGGTTGGAGCGGTGGGTGGGCGGGGAAGTGGGCGGGGTCTGGGCGGGGCAAATCTCTGATAGGAAACCGACATTAAATTGATTCTGTCTAGAGACTACTTTCTGGAGCATCCATGAGGTTACAGTTTTGCCTAAAATAGGTTTTCTTTCTATGGCGGAAGAACAACTGGCACCTTGGCTGTGAATTCTTGGTGAGTCATCAGCAACCACGCACTCAGTGTGAAACCGTGCTCAGCTGTTAGTTGCTATTTACTTGTCAGCAGGGGAGAGAAATAAGATGAGTTAATTGGTGTGTGCAAGTGCCTGGCTTTGGAGAAAATATGGTCAGTCCCTTTTTAGTTCCTCGGTCTATTTTTTTTTTAAGCATCAGGGAAAGAAACTTAAGAAATGCTTTTCCATAGTCAAATGGGATAAAAATTTCACATTATGTAAAGAGACTCTTTGCGTATCATCCACAGATGGCAGATATTCCTTCTTTCCTCCACCTTTCATAGTAAAGGACCCCTGGATGGTGCTCTAGACCAGAGTCCACTGCACAATGTCACACAGAAACCAACTGTGTGGAATGAGCTCTGTGTTTCAGAAACAAGACAGGTGACGGGCAGTTCCATGATTAAACATAGTTACTACAGGACCCAGACATTCCACGCCGACATAAGGGACATAAAAGCATACGTCCACACAGAAACTTGTACACAAATGTTCAAAGCAACTCTATTCTCAGAGCCAAAGGGTGGAAACAACCCAAATGTCCACCCACAGATTAATAGATAAGCGAAATGTGGTCCATCCACACTAGGGAATATTATTCAGCTTTAAAAAAGGAAGAAAATTGTGACACTTGCCACAACATCATGAACAGTGAAGACACGCTAAGTGAAACAACCCAGTCACAAAAGGATGAATATTGTATGATTCTATTTATACAAGGTTCCTAGAGCTGTCAAATTCATAGACAGAAAGTAGAATGGTGGTTTCCAGGGGCTGGAGAGGTAGATGGGAAGTTAGTGTTTAATGGGGACAGAGTTTCAGCTTGAGAAAGATGCAAACACTCTGCAGACGGTTGGTGGTGATGGCTGCACAGTGTGAATGTGCTTCATGCCACTGAGCTGTACACCTAAATTGTATGTTATATATATTTTACCACAATTTAAAAATAAAAACAAAACAAAACTGGAGCTGTGTTGCTGTACCAACCAGCTCCGACATTGGAAGCTATGGTCAGGATCTCCGGTCCTCCCAGTTGCTCTGAGCCCTCCTTTCCTCACTATGGTAGTAATGACAAGCTCCACCTCTCAGGATTGCCATGAGGTCAAAGTGGGCAACCACAGATGTCCCGGGGCTCTCACCATAGGCCTGGACCACTCTATACCCTTGCCCCTGGCCCCAGGGACAGTGTGGGAAGATTCTCCTCCCCTCTTCCCTGGAGTCACACATGACCTGCACTTACCACTTAATGTCACAGTCGGAGGAAACTGAAATCAGTCACAATCCGCCAAGAGGTGTTCATGGGAGCTGCCAGGGGTGGGGGGGCGGGACCTACCTGTTTTCATTTCAAGGTGAGGGTTGCCATGTGCAATTCTGGAGACATTTTTAGTGGTTACAACTGGGAGAGGAGTGCACTGGCTTCTAACGGATAGGGCTCAGGGACACTGCTCAGCATCCAGTAATGCACAGGACAATCCACCACAAAGAATAATCCTGGAGCTGGTTCAGACACCTTGCTTTAGACCCCGAGACCATCCAAGGGCACCAGGAAAAGCTAGCTGAGGAATTGGTGGGCACAAACATCCCAGCCCCGGCTCTCAGTGGGCAGAACTCCACACTCCAGAACTCATTCTTGCTCTGGGTAGGCCCAGGGGCCCTCCCCACCATGGGCCCTGTTGTGGACTGAATATGCCCCCTGAATCCATATACTGAAGCCCTAAATCCCAGTATGGTAATACCTGGAGATGCAGCCTTTGGAAGGTAATTAGAGCCAGATAATATCATCAGAGTGGGGCCCTTCTGATGGGATTAGTGTCCTTAGAACTCCCTGCCATGTGAGGACATAGGAAGAAGGCAGCCATCTGCAAGCCAGGAAGAGAGTCTCACCAGGAACCAGAATAGCCAGCACCTTGGTCATGGACTTCTAATCTACAGAACAATGAGAAGTAAATATCTGCGGTTTAAGCCCCCAGCCTGGGGTATTTTGTCATAGCAGCCCAAGCTGATGAAGACAGGCCCCTTCTGTTTGTGAAATCTGCACCTGCTGCTTGTGGCAAGGGAGCACATTTTCCAATCGCTGTGCCTTTCCCAGAGCTGCAGATAGCCCAGAATGTGGAGACGGTAGGTGTGCAAGTGGGTCACTTGAATTAGATGGGATGCACAAGAGTGCACCCAGACCCCATTCTGCCCAGCATTGAGTGCACCGCCAGGCTCACCCACATCTCAAGGGTGGAGCCCCGGGGGTCGTCCGGTGGGGACCTTGATTACGCATACTCAGAGGATATTCTAAGAGGAACGATACAAGGTTGCCAAGCATGAAGAGATCTTCCCTGTGGGTTGCTGCCAGAGCTTCCTACTACAGTTGATTGGTCCAGAGGTGGGCATGGATTCCCATCAGGGCCCATACCTACATGGGAATTTTGGTATTGGATCTGAGAGCCAATCAGGCCAATCTCCCTCCACCGCCCATTACCCCCTAGATGGGGAGAGAAGTCTGGGGACTGGAGGGTCCCCACTTTGTCCTCTCCCCCAGCTCCCGCACACACACACATTCACACAAGCGGAGGCCCATAGATGCACACGAACAAGCACGTAGGTATACACACGAACACGTGCACACGTACACAGGCGCACGCGCACACACAGGCACGCGCACCACGCGCTCTGGGACAAAGACGAGGTTCTGGAGGAACCGTGGGGGACACCGCGCGCCCAGGCTCACCGGTACAGGGACGCTTGACGCCAGGTGACCTGGCCCTGGCCTCCCGGCTGCTTGTCCGCGAACGGAACCCGCCCTTGCGGCTCCCCCACCCGGCCCAGCGACGTCTCCAGGTGGCAGGACGTGGAGGAAGCGGCATCCGGGTAGCCATCCCTGCAGCCCGGCCCACGCCCCGGCCGGGCATCGCCCTCGCCGCTCCACAGCAGCGCGAGACCCAGCCCAGCCCCTCACTCCCCGCCCCTGGCTCCGCCCCACCCCGCCTCCGGACCTCATTGGCTGTGGCTGTAACAACGTCGCCTTTGGTCCCCGCCCTCCGCTCCGCCCCTGCCCCGCCTCCAGTCCAGCAACAGCGGCGACTAACAGATCCTCCTGGGAGGGGCGGGTGGACTATGGCCTGGAGGCGGAGACGAAAGAGAGATGGACGGGCAGCCCAGTCAATGAGCGCGCGCAGCCGCCCTAGCAACTGCGGCTCGCCAATGGCGGGGCGGGGCGGGCGTGGTGGGGCGGGGCTACGCGCTGTCAGCTGCGGGGGCCGCCGGCCCGCTGCGATCTGCGGACGGCGGGGCCCGCTCGGCGCCTCGGTGCCTGTCAGCCGCCTCTGAGCCGTCCCGCGGGCCGGGCATGGGCGCAGGCGTCGGCGGCGGCACGATGAGCACCCTGGGCAGCCCTGTCCGCTCTTACGACTTCCTGCTCAAGTTCTTGCTGGTGGGCGACAGCGACGTGGGCAAAGGCGAGATCCTGGCGAGCCTGCAGGATGGCGCGGCCGAGTCCCCGTACGGCCACCCGGCGGGTGAGCGCGGGGCTAGGACGGGGGAACAGAGCCCAGGGAGCGCGCGGTGGGCCGGGGGAGCGCAAGGGGGCCCGGGGAGCGCGCGGCTAGCCGGCGGTGGGGTGGGGGCGGGGCCTGGGGAGCGCGCGGCGGGCCCGGGAGCGCACGGGAAACCAGGGGAACGCGCAGCGGGCCGGGGATCTGACTGGGGGCCGGGGGGAGCGCGCGGCGGGCCAGGGAGCGCTCGGGAGAGCGCGCGGCGGCCTGGGAGGAGAGGGGCAGAGGGAGCGCCTTGGGCCCGGGGAACGCGCAGCGGGCCAGGGAGTGCAGGGTTGGGGGGACCAAGGGAACGCGCAGAGGGCCAGGGAGCGCACCGGCGACCCGGGGAGGGCGCGGCGGGCCGGAGTGGAGCCGAACCCAGGCACCAGAGTAGTGCGCCGAGGAGCTGGAGGTGCGGGGACTGGGAGCGGGGCCGAGGGGGCGCAGAGAGGAGCGGGGGTGGAATGCGCGAAGGGACGCGGATCCAGGAGCGCGGGGCTCACCGCCCGCCTTTCTGCCTGAGTCGGGCGCGCGCTTCGAGGGAATCCCCCGCTGCACCCTCAGTTCCCACGTGGGGAATACAGCGCGTCCTCCGTAGTCTCACCAAGGTCCGCTTCCCCGCGGGAACTAGCGGCTGGGCAGGGTGCTGGGGTACTTCTGACCCGGGATGACTGCGAGGCGGAGGGGAGCGGACGGACCACACAGGTGGGGTTTGGGGAGTAGGTAGCCGGGCTGCTGTAAGTGGGCCCAGCCGGGAGGCCACAAGCGCGTGCAACGCGTTTGGAAAGGATGCGTGGGGGTTAAGGAGCGGCCGGGAGGGAATGGGGCGTGGGATCCGAGCGCAGCGGGCGGAGGCTCCCAGGTGGTGGCTCTGCGCGTGGGTGAGATGGAAGCGGAGGGAGAGAGGAAGCAAGAGAACTAGTCTGGACGCTTCTCCAAGGTTCCTGGCGTGTCCGAGGGGCTCCTCGCCCTGGCGAACAGGCCCGGGAGGGCAAGAAACCCAGATGACCCTCGAGAATGCGGCCTGAGGGCGAGGAAGGGAAGCACCATAGAAAGTGAAGGAGTGTGGGTTCCAGGTGGGGAAGCCAGAGGACTCAGAGCTTGAGGACAGTGGGCAGAGGGTCCCCAAAGTTTGAGGTTTGAGGGCCGCAGGCCCCAAGACGGGGTGGACATTAGGAGGGAAAGAAGGGCAGGGGAGAGGAGAGGAAAGTGAGGTGGGCAGAAAGCTGGGCCAGCAGGCAGGAGAGTCAGGGTCTTCACCCAGGCCGGCTGCCCCGACGGTGCAGGTCTGCAGGTCGGGTGGCTGTGAAGGGCACCTGCCTGCGATCACCTTTTCACTGTCATGTCAGGGGCTCAAGGAGCACTTCCAACACAAACCTGGCTGCTCAGCGTCTTGCCCCTCTCTGTCTCCTGGGCTTGCAGTCGGGTTCTCCAGAAGCAGAAGAGGGCAGCCCGGGAAGTGGAGTCTTGATGTTCAAGCCAGCCTAGGTGTGCTTCCCGCCCTAACGGGGCAGCGTAAGCTTGAGAAGACAGTGCAGAGGAGGAAGTTTTGGGTCCAGGGGCCTCACTGGGAGATAACTTGATTTAAGGCAAGAGGGGCAGGAGGTGCAGGGCAAAAGTTGTGGTAGGACCCAAGGTGGGCTATGTGGGAATGAGGGATGTAAAAACAAAAAGTGGTCTGCAGAGCTGGCAGAGGGAGGAAGACTGTGGCTTCTGAGCAGGGATGTGAGCGACTTAGGCGGAATGGCCGAGACAGGCCTTTAAGATTGGAGGTGTGGGGGTGGGGAGAAAGTTGGGGAGAGTTTTGGGTTGGTTCTGGAGAACCGATGCCAAGAACCTGGACTCTTCCTGAAGCTGCCAGTGCGAGAGTCACCCAGGGGACTTGTGAAAATGCAGATTCTGTCTCTGATTCCAGATCTGTGTTATCCAAGGTGATGCCATCAGCCACGTGAGATTTTTTAAATTTAAAGGAGTGAAAATAAGATACAATGAAAGGTTCATATTAACCACGTTTCAAGTGCTCAGCCCTTGGCTCCTGACAGGTGTGGCAGAGCCCTGCTGGAAGGCTCAGCTCTGGGGCTTAAGTTGCAGGAGGGCGGCAGGTTTTGTCTGTTTCCTCCACAGCGGGGTCCTCAAGGGCCTGGGCGCAGTGGGTGGAGGAGTAAACATTGAACAAATAAAGCACCAGGCTTTTAAAACTGTGTGCCTGGGGGGAAGAAGCTGTAGTTTTCAGTCCCTGTGAGTCGGTGAGTGATGTGCAGCAAATGGGAGGAGTGTGGACAGAATATGTGTCCTGGTTGTTTGAACAGAGGCTTGGGTACGCTTTGTTGTGTTACTTTCTTTTTGTTATATGCGAACTGAGCACTTGTAAAAGCAACTAATTAACGCTTTCTTCTAAAGGTTTTTCCTCCACACAGAGGGATGATTTAGGTTAAAAAGACACTTTCCAGGAGATTGTAAGGAGTTGGAATCATTGTCAGTATTATTACTATTACTATTATTATTAAAGACACGTTTCACTTTGCATGAGTACTTCGAGGAGCATCGGAAGGGGAGGGCGTTCCCAGCCTCCTGTTCCCACCCCCTCACCCCCTCCTCGTGTGCACCCCTGTTGCTCTAAATTTACCCCGGTTTCTGTACTGGGGCTGCAGTGCCCGTAGTCCCTCAGTATCAGATGCTGACCATGAGTCTTTTCTCCACCACTGTGTCTCTGACTTCTGTATTTTGCTGTCCCTCTAATTAGCTACATTTCATTTCCAGCCATTTTCCAGGAAGGGCTCGTGAGTATTTTCATGTTTGAGAATGTCTGTCCTTTGTCTTTATCTGTGAACAGTATCTCGGTTAGGTTAGAATGTATCCTCAGGCTGAATGTTCTTTCCCTCCACACTTTGTCCCCATGGCTCCACTGGGCTGGCTCGCTCGCTCGCTCCCTCACTCGCTCTGAGGTCCGCTGGTCTCTCCTTGTGGGTGATTTGCCTTTTCTTCAGAGTTCCTCAGCTTAAGCAGATCGTATCTCAAAGTCGAATGCTTGGTGTTGAACTTCTGATACACTGTGTACTCTTTGAATTTGCAGATTTTGTATTTAATTTCAGGGAAATGTACTTTATGTCCCCTAAAACATCTGTTACATTGATTGGTGTTTACATCAGGTTTCCTACTGCTGCTGGGCAAATTGCCACAAACTTAGTAGCTTAAAACACAGATTTATTATCTGACAATTCTGGGGGGCCACCATCTCCCTGGGATGAAATTGAGGTGTTGGTAGGGGCTGTGTCGTTTCTGGAGGTGGCAGCAGTGAGTCTGTTTGCTTGCCTTTCCCAGCTTCTGGAAGCCTCCCGCACTCCCCGGCTCCAGGCCCCTTCCTTGCCTTCGAAGCTGACAGTAGTAATGCTTCCTGTCTCACGCTGCACCCCTCCAGCCTGACTCTCCCTCTTCTGCTTTCAGGAGCCCTTGTGATGGCGCTGGGCCCATTTGTTAATCCATGATGTCTGTATTTAAAGATCACCCGGTTAGCAAACCTAATTCCTTCTGCAGCCTTACCTGCCCTTTGCCATGTAAGCTCCTAGAGTCATGTATTCTGAGGATTACAGCGTGGATACCTTTGGGGAGCTGTTACCATGCTGCGTGCCGTACCCATTATCCTTGTGCTGGATCGGTTTAGTTGTGTTCCACATCCCTTCACTTCTCTCTCCCTGCTTTGATCTTTTTGTCTCTCTCTTCTGAATTTCTGTGGGCATCTCAAGCCTTTCCTATTTGTTGGTAATTTTTATTTTAGTAAACTGTTTCTAGCTGTTTCTAACCTTTTTATCAGTTTAGTAAATGATGTTTTGGTTTTTTTCCTTACTCTTACAATTTTCATTTACAATTTTATTTTATTTTTTTAAAGATTTTATTTATTTATTTGAGAGAGAGAGAATGAAAGAGAGAGCACATGAGAGGGGGGAGGGTCAGAGGGAGAAGCAGACTCCCTGCCGAGCAGGGAGCCCGATGCGGGACTCGATCCTGGGACTCTAGGATCATGACCTGAGCCGAAGGCAGTCGCTTAACCAACTGAGCCACCCAGGCGCCCTCATTTACAATTTTAAAAAATTTCTTTAAATGGGGCACCTGGGTGGCACAAAAGGTTGGGCATCTGACTCGGTTTCAGCTCAGGTCGTGATCTCAGGGTGGTGAGATCGAGCCCCAAATCGGGCGCCGCACTCAGTGGGAAGTCAGCTTGAGATTCTCTCTCCTTCTGCCTCTGCCCCTCCCACTTGTGCTCTCTCTCTCTCCAATAAATAAATAAATCTTAAAAATTTTTCTTTAAATAGTTATTTCATTAAAAAAATCTCTCATTTTGCCAACTTAATGTTTGTTGGCTTTTTTTATATATAAATTTTATTTATTTATT